TATATCTATATATCTATATCTATATATCTATATATATATATCTATATCTGTTCTCTTCAAATGAAACAGAGTAATATTACCAGCTTAGACCTGTGTAACTAAAACGGACATGGTCCAGGAATTATTTTTATTTTGAGTTATATTAAAATGCAAAGCAATCGCTTTAGATTGTATCAGATAACGAGAATGAACGCCGACTGCGGTGGAGCACAGCTCAGTGACCATAAAGCTTGTTCAGGAAATTTTAAAATATTCTGCTATTTCCAGCGACACACCGGTTTAATGAAACTGTTTCTTTGGGGAGAATTTGAAGATTTCTGTCTGCACAGGCAGAACTGTTAAAGCTCAATGCAAACACTACAACACTGCTGCTGTGTGAAAGGAAAGACCGCTAACCTGTTGTGTTTGAAAGTGCTTCTGCTCATGCTCAAGTAGTCCAGTCAGGGTTTTAATGGTGTGTGTGTGTGTGTGTGTGCGTGTGCGTGTGCGCGTGTGTGTTGGGGTTTAATCACCCTCGGTAGTCGTCTGCAGGTCCCAGTGACAGTGCAGACAGCAGGGGAGTGAAGAGGAAAGCTGATGACAGCGATAGCGAGCCGGAGCCTGAAGACAACGTCAGGTAACTCCTTACAAACTAGGTGGGCGGGCTCACAGCAAAGGGTGGGATTACTGTGTTTTAATCTAAAGTGAATACAGAATCTCCCCCAATTTCTTATATTTGCTAACCCGCATTAATTTCATTTTTAGAATTAATAAGCCTACAAATAAATTGTTCCCCTTTAAACGATTCAAGCAAACAAACTTCTCACGTGCACCATATCATCTTGTTCTCTTCTGTAACTACTTCATGTTTTCATTATATCCATAAACTCATGTTCCTGTAGTTTGTTCATCACAGGTATGATACATGCAGAGGTGTACACCATCTTCTAGATAGACTTCTTCATCCTACCTGTATATGCAATAAACATTTACAGCAGGATGTTAGCTTGTGCATACATTATCTTCCTATAAATATCTTCGTCATCCATCATTTGATCCGAAGTCTTATTTAGTCTTAAATCTTAGTGCAGACAGTTAGATTCCAGACTGACGGTTTAATTTCAGGATATCTTTTCCCCCGTTTCTCCTCTTTGGCTCTATTAATCATGACAGCGCTCTTATGCTCTGCTCATTTTCCACATCATAAGCAAAGCATATATGAAGGAGCTGCTGGAGACCACTGCAAAGAGGACTAAAGACCACAAAATCATCTGCATACATAATGTGGTTCACTAGAAAGCTGCTATTCATCCACCCACTTTCAGCTTCTTTGATAAGTCATCAACATATAGATTAAAAAGAACCGAGGATACAGCTCCAGTAAGCCTGAACACTCGTGATGAACACTTATGGTGTATTTGGGCTCCCCTCTTTTGACTCAACATACTTTTTTCCCCCTGTATTTATTTACAATTAGGAATGTGCACACAGGTCAGTGAATGTTTGGCTTTAAAGCCAAAGTGGTTGTCAGTGGAATTAATAAAGATATTTATTTAAAGCTTGGCATAATTTAAACTTCAGCTGTAGGCCTGTCAAGACTCCCTGTCTTACTGGGTTTATTCTTTTTTTTATGATTAAAGAAACCCAACGGCACATAGAAATGTCATTTTAATCATTTTAATAACTCATACAACTTTGTAAGCAAGACAGTTTTTAGTTTAAGTTAATTATAAGTAAAGTTAATCACAATAAATTAATTTTGGTGTGAAAACAAGGTTTCATAACACAACTTTCACTCACTTCTCAGGTACAAACTCTCAAAGTGCCCACACCAAAGAGCTATGCTTGAATTAAACCTGCTTTTACAAACCGCCACGACCTGAATAATACTCTGCAAGTAATAAAGCTGGCGTGTCAGACAAGCTGCTCATTGGCTCCTTTCTCAGCACATTTAGCGTCTCTGCTGGGCTCACACGGTGACCAGAAAATAGGCAAAACAAAATTATTTGTTTATGAGGTCAGTCATTCATTTCATCATTATTGTAAATCGGCTGCTGTCTGTCGAGTTTTCTTGAAGCTGTTTATAACTGGAAGCTCCTTCATAACCACAAATAACCTGTAATTTGAATGCCCAGGGAACCGCGTGCGTGCAGTTAATAAAACACCTTAAAAATAAATCTGTGCAGATGAACTTCAGTCAGCAAAGGTCGCTTTAACAAACAGAAGAGGAGAGACGTGCTCATTAATGCCACCGAGCTGCACCACAAGCTCTTTAACTCTCTGCCATCTCCGCTGCACGCACACACACACATATTAGTACGCACATTTGTACACACACTCCCTGCTCTGCTGAACAGCTCCCACTTCCCCTCTGCACGTGATTAATATGGAAAGCAGGAGCGTTCGAGTAAATTCCTCTGTGACGCACTCGTCAGAGCTGCTAAATCCATCGGGCTAAATTGGTATTCATGGAGGCTTTTCTCTCAGGAGTCGGCAGCTTCCCGCGGGCCGCTCCGAGGAGCCGCCGCGCAGATGCCGGACGACCCTGATTATGTGTGCAGAACGGCATCGCCGCCCCAAATCTACCGCGAAGTCATAGCCGTTGAACTGTTCCAGCTGGTTTTTCAGCCTATAGATGAGCCATTTATTTGAATATGTTGTTCAGATTTACCTAAACTGTAAAGATTTGGTCATGTCAGCCAATAATCAACAATGGATTTGCAATTCTTGGCCATTGGCAGTATTTGTACCAGTGGAGTTGATTTCCCATATTCCCATCTTTATTACTAACTGAGATATCAAGCCTTTTGTGTGGTCATCAGTACAGGTGGGGGCAGTCTAAATAAAATTAGACATTGTGAAGTTGTTGGAGGTGGTGGGGTTCAGACAGATGTTACTGATGTTGAATGAAAGCATGTTAGTGGAAGTCTGGAGCTGTGCGCAAATTAATCCACATTTTAACCCCCAAAATGTTGCATTGGGCAGAATTCCCTCAAATGAGATTTTATTTAAAGGTCAGTGTTGGGAAGGTGGGTGTTGATGCCTAATTAACTACTCCAAAGGTCATCTCCTGGCCTTTTGGACAGTCCACTGGTAAATATGAAATTTGACTGGCTGTGGTAGTTGACACTGTTCTGATGGATGGAAGATGGAAGAAAAACAAGCAAAACAAAATGCAGAGCACTTACCATCAACTTCCCCGTGCCACATTTTCTGGCTGTACTACTACTAGCTAAGACTGATTTGTGCACGCACGCTGACAGAGATACTTGTTAATTATTATTCATTTGAATTCTTAAGGAGACTGATGACTAAATTACTTAATAATAACCCCACAGTGTGGTTTTCAGTAAGATGACTTAAATCTCAGTGTTTGGGCCTGTGTGTAATGTCTTTCTTGGTTAGTGCTGTTGGTGAAGAAGTTAGTTCAATCTTCTGAGTGAGTGTGACCACCCCTTTGTGTCCTGCAGGTTGTGGGAGGAAGGCTGGAAGCAGAGGTACTACAAGAACAAGTTTGACGTGGACGCGACAGATGAGGATTTCAGGCGGAAGGTGGTCCAGTCGTACGTGGAGGGTCTCTGCTGGGTACTGCGCTACTATTACCAGGTAACTGAAGTCACACGGTGGGTTCAGTACTGTGTACAAACGAGCATGTCTTCAGCAGCGATGTGTTCTTTTTTTTTTTCCCGTGTTTTTCTTTTCCTGCTGAGAAACATATTCTCACTGGTTTATAAAGCCTTTACTTCACCCAGATGCTAGCTTTAGAAACCGTTTAATAGTTTTCTTTGAACTTTGAACCCCGAGCTTTCATTACATACCACGATCCAAGCTAAATTTCCACCTTTACAAATGGAGAGGCAGGTGTATTTAGTCGTTTTTTTGATGAATTTATGCACAACATCAACCTTTCTGATCCTGTTCCTGAGTTACAGAATCAAATTATGTTAAGTTCCCAAATATTGCTGGTAAGGTTAAGAGTTTATTTTTCAGAGCAGTGCTTCTCTCCTTGAACTTCCACATACTCGTCTTTCAGCGGTTCTTTTTCTCTTTTTTTGTAACATTTTTTTAGTTAAGGTCTTATTTATACATGTGTAAAAAGATTAATCACATGAAGTTCTTGCTAACAAAAGTTAACGATAGCTTTCGTAAAATTAAATCAAGAGTGTGGCTGCCACAAGGTGAATTCTAACTTTTGGATATTTTAGCTTTCATGTAGACACTGAGGGGAAAAATTTAAGGTGAATGATGCACAGAGTAGAACTTTGTGCTAACAGTGCAAACAAAGACTGAGAAAATCACTAAAGTTTTTGAGGGGAAGCTAAAGGATAAGGATGCTTTTTTTCTTTTTCTTGTCATTTCGCAACCAGAACCTGTGTTTGACACAGAAACCTCACATTCTCTGTAAAGGTCATCCTGTAAGGTACATCGACTGAGTAACATGGATAAAGCCATTTATAGAATAGAATATAAAGCTTTGTCATTGTGTTCAGCATACAGTGAGAGTCTCTGTCCTGCTCGATGCATCAGGGTTAAGTATCGCTCATTAGTTTCTGAAGCATTTGATCATTCTGGATTTTGTTGCTGCTTGCTGAAACCTGAGTTACAGGAAATGGGTGGATCTGTCTGAGAAGAGCACTACATGTTGATACTTGCTTTTCCTCTGCTGTATCCTCGATTTTACTTTAAATACACAAAATGAATTCACGTACCGTATTTTCACGACCATAAGACGCACTGTACTAAAAGGCGCAGTCTCAGTTATGTGCGCCATTACTGTATTTAACACACACATAAGGCGCACTGGATCATAGGGCGCAGACAAGTACCGTATGCGTATTTAAAAATAAAGCGGGAGCAAACCTGAGTTCGGTACCTTACTCACATTTTTATTACCAGTAATCATCATCATCAACAACACACAAGCATACAAGTGTGCATATTTAAAAAATAAAGCAGGAGCAAAACAAAGTTTGGTACTCACATTTTTATCATCAATCAAACCTATCGAAGTCCTCATCCTCTGTGTCTGAACTGAACAGCTGCGCTAAATCTCCACCAAACATGCCAAGTTCACTTTCTTCACTGTCAGAGTCACTTTCCGTGCCGTGCGGCTCCTTGGAAATGATGCCAGCTTTTGCGAAAGCTCGAACAACAGTGCCAGCAGACATGTTAGCCCAAGCATTTACAATCCATTGGCAAATTGTGGCGTAACTCGCCCGGCGCTGCCTTCCACTCTTGGTGAAACTGTGGTCTCCATCGCTTCCAGGCCGCTCGCAGCCTTACTTTGAACGGGCGGTTCACACCGATGTCCAGCAGTTGGAGTTCCTTTGTCAGGCGTCCCGGAATGACAGCAAGCTCACAGTTCATTTGTTTCACTAGTTTTTTCACATCGGCTGTGAGATGGGCACGCATAGAGTCACAGATTAAGAGCGATGGTGATGCGTGGAAAAAACCACCTGGTCTCCTTACAT